TTATCTTCCGGTTAGAAAGCTACAGAGACGCATGAGGGTGTATCGCTGATCCTACTGGACTGTTCCCAGTCTTACTCGCTGTGGGGTCCTGCTGCTCTGCTAACACACTGAGGCTGATCTGAGAGCGGCTCGCTCCCACCTCCCTTATTGAAGGGATCCGCCGACAGTAAAAGGGAAATGCTCCAGCAGCCGGATGCAGTAATCCATGCATTATTTCTGTTTTCCCTTCACTGGCTGCATGTCATGTGCGATTTAGCCCACGTAGGAAAATAATACATAAAACGGGTTATGTTTACAAGACATTCAGCCTACTTTTAAAGTGATATTTATTATTGATTTTTAAATTATTTGAAGTTAAACCGTTGTCCCTGGTATGTGTAGGCTATAGGTTGTTTAAACTGTGTTGTAAGATCATATAAAATAAGGGAAATTGCTAGATGTGACCACTAAACAAACTGTTATGATGCAGACTAGGGGTATAAGCAGTCAGATATTTCATATAAAATATTTGTTGATCTTAATTTATTTTATTTCATTTTCATTTCATATTTACTATTAAATGCCATTCTTGTAAATAATATCCCACTTTTACATTACATTACATGTCACTTGTTAGACGCTTTTATCCAAAGTGACTTACATACTCAATACAATTTGGGGTGATGTGTCTTGCCCAGGGACACAACGACATGCTGACTGCAGTGGGGTTTGAACCTGTGCTCCCCTGATCTCAACACCAACCCACTATTCCACTGCGCCACAGCCAAAAGCCTCCCCTTTTACATTGTGTTAGCTGTAATTCAGTCTTCCAATCGTTTTTTTCTAGTTTACATATTTTTTCTCTTTTAGTTCAATTTTATCTTCTATTTTGAGATGCTTATATTGTGTAATTGTTTATTTTTTACTCTTTTTTCATTATGTTCAATACATGTTTTACATACTGCTGCATTGAAAAAATGTCATCTTATCTTATCTGATATAGATGTAGGCCTACTTCCCAAAATGGCAAACCTTCTAAGTAAACACACCTTCCTAATTACACACACCTCCGAGAAGTAAACAACAAAAAGGAAAGGAAATGATGATCAACCTCAGCACCTTATATAAACAAGAACAAACAAATAAATTACCAAAAATTGTTTTAAATGACATAATTGGTAAAGACGTTGGTTCTACTCCTGATGGGACGTCCTGGTAAAGTAACTTTGTGTTTCCAGTCATGCCCCTCCCTTCTTATGAGGGAGGATGTTGCCATGACAACCCTACATTATGCAGGAGGCCTTGAAAGACCCTTTTCAGATAAAAAAAAAAAGAAAAAGAGAAGAAAGACAGAAACAAGTTATTTGCATTCCTTTTCCATTAAAGATGTTGTGTGATAGAAAAAAGGCGGTATGTGGTGTATTGTCTGTATCTGTGGGGGGGGGGCTAGTGCATCTGAAGGCCTCACAACTATTTTAGAAAACGAATGCGCTGTGTGTCACCGTCAAAGGACGACTGCTTAGCATTCAGTGCACAAAACGCTGGCTTAGTGCAAAGATTCCTGTTTGTTTCAGCATCCCAACTCCGTTACTTAAATTATTTTACAGTAACTGCTTTAAAACTCAAATTCCTGGTCTATTAAAAATTAAGATACATACCAGTACCTTATGGTGAAATGATAATGCTTTTTCTTTAACTTTAAATGGGGTTTAATCAATAATATATGTTCTGCCTTGAGTGATGTAGACAGTCAATAAATCCTGCTCGAGACGTTTCACAAATGCCTTTTGATACTATATAAACCAAGCAACAACCTGTTCCCCAGTTTAAGGATAAAAACATAATATTCAGAGCAGAGTTTGACCATAATTTCCTCCGCTGTTTGGTCCCAGCTGCCGGCACCTGCTGCTGTTATTAGTCCAGTAGAGCATGGCGGGATTACAGCGAGGGACTGTCAATGGCTGCTGAATAATTGACCGGCTTCTTTTGTCTCATTCATGCTGTTTTGACATTTAACATGTGTTGGTTCCAAATTGCAATGAAAGTTTGATGTGGAAACGGTAATTATGGGGCAACAGTTATTAGGAAGGATGCTTGCTGTACAATATCATCTCAGTGAAGAGACTGTACAGTAACAGAGAAACAGAAACATATCACAATCCTCAAGCTCTATATACTGTATGGTCTTTAATCTAAAATTGCAATTTCTCTCATACAGTACGCTACAGAGCATTTTTGACATCTAAGAATAGTTGGTAAGCCCTTTGCTATCCATTTTTTGTTCTGTTTTTTTTGCTGATCTTTGTTGTTTGCTTTTCTCCTTAAGTAGAGGGTCTGATGTTTAATGCTCTGGTTTCCTGGCCTCTCACATCTCTTTTTAAAACTATTATTATTACAACTATTATAATTGGGGTTATCTGCAGTATTATGCGTGTGCAAAACAAGTGTTTAAAAGGCTTTAAAATATATAAACTGGGTCAGATACCCCTTGGGATGCAGTTAGTAATACTTTAGTATTTTATTTTACCTTAAATAGCAGCAATGATAAAACACGGCTAAATGATAGTTGGACTGTTAATGGCTTTTTCTCATCAAGAAGTAGTAAAGACAAACATGCCTTTAACATCTTCCCAAAGTACCTTGACACTTTTTAATAGAAAACCCAAAGATATGACATAGAAAAATGCAGGATATCACAGTTAGAACCAGAACATTTTTGATAATCTGATCAAGAAAGAATTAAATTGAACTACTAAATATTACCAATATGTAAAGAAAAAGACAAACTCTTCAGCATTGTAATCTATACGTAGGAAGCAGTGTGGAAACAGGAAAAGGAAGCAGTTTATCACATGAACAGAGTCTGTATAATATGATGTGTCTCACCCCATGTTTACTCCAGTTTCTCCTCCTGTTCTCTCTCGGCTGTGGGGTCAGCACGGGGGCTCTCACCACGTGTTCATGTAGATCTGAAGACAGAATAAAGACATGTCAGCTTCAAGCAAAGCTTCTCTCTGCCACACACTAACAGATAATGAGAATGTGTTTTGGCATTGAAGTCTCGGAAAAGACATCTTGAGCATTTCAAAGTGCATATTCTTATTTGATGGTTATTTGCTGTACAGTCAGTGTGGACAGCTGTATTTACATGTACTGCTAATCTCACTGGTTTTCTGTTTCTGATAATCCCTGAATCTGTAGTAGAATAAGGCTGGAATCCCTGCATGTTGGCGTACATTCATGTGAATATACTGTATCTGGTAAAGGTCAGAGTGAATTGGTGTGACACCGTGTCCTTTAAAGTGACAGGGAGTGAGGTCATCTAAAGGACACCGCAGTGAGACTGTCCCCTGGTGTTACAAAGCAAACCATATCTGAAGGATGAACTCTCGTGAATTTAAGATTGCATGATTAAAACACTTAAATAAAAGGTCAGCCTTATTTTGGGGTTGGATTCTTTTCTTTTTACAATTTCACTGCTTTGTCAATGCTTGAGGTCAGAGAAAGTTAGCTCAAAATATACATACATTAGGAGTTGGAGGATTTGTAATTGAGCAGAACAATTACGTCTTATTGCAAGAATATGCACAACAAAATGAAACTCACTCTTTCTAGGAATGCTGCTGCTGAGGCCTCCTTCCTGTCCAGGAGGTTGTCTGATCCCTCTTGTCTGCTTCACGACATGCTTGACATTCAGGAGAACATCCTTCAAACTGCTCTTTAATCCTTCAAAAACATGACATGTATATGTTGTGGATATAATAAAAGGAAGCCCTGCTCTGCCTCCTGTAGCAGTGTCAGAGTGAAAGTAGAGATCCTCAGGTGTTATGTTGAGCTGCAGGATCAGGAGGATTGAGAGGAGCGTAATCCGTCACACATGACTACAGCAACTTTGATCTACAGATAAACGTGCCAACTCGCAAGTAATCTCATCTCATGCTCTACAATTCATAGTACTTTGTCTTGAGCAGTGACTCAAGCAAATAGGCCTGTATACTGTATACAGAGATACGTTGGACATAATCGTCCTACACTATGTGCTTTTTGTCCAGTATGGCAATCATGTATGTCCAACCGATCCAAATAGGTTACAATTATGTTTCAATAAGAAGGCTGAACAATTCTGACATGATTATGGTTTGTAACATCTGATCATAAAGCAATTGTTCATGGTATGTGACCTACTTTTTCCAAGCAAGTGCTGTCTAGTCCGCTCTTGAAACTTGCATTGAGCTTCTGAAAACTGAACCTTTTTCAATCTGGAATAAATAGATTGCCCTTAAATGTCGTTAAAAATGGGCACAGCGGAACAGCAGAAGACCAATGATCTATATATCCTGCAGAAAATCAAAGAAACGGGCTACAGTGACCTTTACTTCAAAGGGTACTATGCTGCATTTCCATTCAGAGGTTTATCTTGTCTTTTGGACGTGGACATTTCATTCTCCTATCCAATAATAGGACTTATTGCTGCTGTTGTTGTTGATTTGACATGTTTTGCAGTCACGCCACTCTCAAATGATGGTGCCAACATCTGTTCTAAACAAAACCTGTCAAACAGCTAAATTACACATTATTGGAAAGTATGCTGTTGCTGCATTGTAAAACCATGACTGTCTGAGTCACTCACAGCTCTGCTGACACACGAGACTCTGCTGCCCTCTGGTGGTTCAGAGGCTGAGGTTCAAGGATTATGGCAAAATGCTTTTGTACTTATTTTGCAGCCCAGGAGTCTTTCACTATGGATAACTGTGCATTTGGTTTGGGTCACCTTGTTGTTTTTGTTCTTCAAGTTCTTTCATTTCAACAAATGTTCGATTATATAGGATCTGCATGTTCTGAAAATCACAGGAATTGTGAATAATCCGGATGATAAACTGTATACACTGAAGCAAAACAACAGTATTCTTGTCAAATGAATCACATCATTTATGAATTTAATTTTTCAAATTGATTATATTTTAAACTATACATACTAATTGTTTGTAGGTAATATAGCTTGACATTATCATCATCATATTCCCCATTGTGTTCTCAAGAGAGCAGAAAACAACCGAATTTAAAAAGACAGAGGTCAGAATCTTAAACATTGTATTTTGTGTCCCTCAACTTGTCTTCTCTTGTCCTGGTATCACTTAATCACACAGTGAAAAAAAAGACTAATAATAATATAATATAAAACATTGTTTCTCAAAGAATCACCAAGACCTCGTTTTCAGTTTACACAGCAACATGTGATTTGTATTTATTTCTTGGATAACATCATCAGAAATCAGAACTGCAGTCTAGTCACAATGTGCAGCCCGGTGGTGTAGTGATCAGTCCGTTCCTTAATCCATGTGAGGCTTCAGATTGTAATAGACCAGCCGAGTATTCGCCACATCAATGACTTTCATCACACAGGAAGAAAAAAACCCACTTGTCATTAATGTCCAGTGTGCAAAAAACGTACTTGGAGGTAAACGATGCCAAAACAGATGCACATATATTGAAATGTAGGGAATATAAACCTTACAGGAAAATCAGACATTCTGAACTAAAGCAAAAGAGTAACTTTAAAAACACAAGGTCGCATCCAGTACTGTACGCAGCTTTGGGGCGAGTGACTTGAAACAAAACCACGTAACGAGACACACGTTTGCAGACAGCAATGACCTATCTGGTTTACAGGCTCTTGAGTCTGAAATGGTCATGGACGTTGGGACTGTAACTATAGTAACCATCCTGTAAAAGGGAAGTTGTGGCGAAGAGGAAGAGTGAGTATTCAAATTCCTCAGCCGCTGATCTGAGCCAGTGGGACGAAATGTAAAGGGCAGCCATTGTAAAGCTGGGGCTGTTAAAGGTGGCACCAGGGGGCATTGTGGGAACACAAAGAATGAGACTGAGGACTGACGGAGAGCACGAGAGAATTTGGGAGAAAAAGCATCTTTATTGCTGTTGAAAAATAACATTTTGTGTAAAAAAAAGAGAAATCTAAATGCTCAATATGTAAACAAATGTTGCTTCATAATCAAACCTGAGACAAATTAAATGTTATTTAAATTAAACACATTTGTACTTAGTTTGAATTCTCTGTTTGCATGGTTTATAACTTTTACATTTTTTCAACAATTTTGGAGCTTGTTTACAAATGGATTTACATTAAAATATCTAAAGTCCAATCTTAACTCGTGGACCATAAATTAGCTTCTTATTCAGAGCTCTGGAGCACGGTAAACTGCTGTTTCCAAGGTGATTTTAACGATTTAATTAAAGGCGTTTTACTTCAGGCTGAAAGACAGTGAGAAGCTCTTAGCTGAAGCATTCCCAGACGAATACACGCTACTTATCTTTATACCTTTCATATCTTTATAGCTGAATCATTTGATACATTGATTTATGAATCAGATAAAAATGACAACAATCATGGGACTTCTTTTTCTTCAAATTCTTTACATGATTGTGAAGTAAATGTATGTTGTGTTCTTTTGTTTGAGAGTTGATAAAAAAAAAGCCTTTTTGAAGATCCTACCCTGGGCTTTAGGGTGCACTCTCTTATGGACGTTTTCACTGTTTTCTGGCTTTTTAATAGATAACTAAAAAGGATTTGTCAGGTTGATTGATAATGAAGGCAGACATTAGTTGAAACCCTCCATTACTTTACAAAGGGTTTAGATGGAGTTTCCATGCAGGCCACACACACAGCCGCACGTCACACTGGCTCTTTTGTGTCATCGGATCATCGGCTTCATTTGCATCACAAGGAACAGGAAGACACCGAGCGCATGCCAACACACTGCAGGTCAGCATCTGATAGGAGATCTGAACGCTTCAAAACAGCTGTGCAATCACATACTTAATGTTATACCCTTCGTCTTTTTTTACTACTATGTAAACATATTGATAGTCAGAAAAATACTATGTCTTTACATTATGTACAAAGTGTATCACTACAGCTCGGTGTGATGAAATGTAGAAAAAGGAAAACTTTTACAATCAAAGAGTTTCTACCGGTGATGTTGGGCTACATTTAGCTTTAAGGCAATGCAGTGTTGTGAGGCAATGGCACAATGCAGATTGAAAGGCAAGTGGTGTGAAATGGTCAAAAGGGAAACTTTTAGCCCAGGTCTGTGCCTATTATACTCTTAACACTCAAGTCACAAAGCATAAAGCATGAAATCAAAATGTAATTTTTGAAAAGCTAAAAAGGTTGTTTAAAATAAAAAATATACGTTTTAAAAAATGAAAATATTCCCTATGTTATATGATTAAAAAAAACAAATGTACCCCTAAGGTGCCATCCAGGTATCCGGCAAGGAAACATGTGACAAGGTTTTTTGTATGAAAATAAAAGCTAATTTAATGAAACATCAATATGGACAAATATAAATTCTATAAAACTTCATTTGGATCACATCGAACAAATTGAGAAGGAACACGCCATTTCCATCCACTTTGGATTAAGAACAATTTGCCCAACTTTAGAAAGTCAACACTGCAAGAAACAAAAAGGGTAGCTTAAAAAATATATACATTAAGGCTCAATTTGTTCAACATGAAACAAAATCTATAACTTTTAAAGGTTAAGAGTGTCCATATTGAATAACATTGAATTATTTCCATACAAAATAAAATGTTATTATTATTCTTGTGACAAATGTAATGTCAAATGTAATATTTGCTACATGCAAAGTTTATAGTCACAACTGGGCATATCGCCGCAAACATTTTTTAACCTACAAAAGGACTGAATATTTTCCTCCACATGATTTGAATTGTTTTAACAGATTATGATAAATACCTTTAAAACAGGTATGTTTTTTACAAGCTTCAATAATGGCGGCTCTGTGACTTGAGTGTAAAAGTGATATATTTGAGGCACACACCGAGGCTGGGTTAAATTATGACCAGTTGTTGTTGGAAGGCCTAGAGAACATGAGATGACTACATTCACAGTAGAAACATTAGTGTCAAATAATCCCATGACGATGATTACTTCAGTGTTGTTTCAGGCGTGTTCAATGCTTTCCTTCAAAGCATTATCGTTGCCGGTGTATTAGCCTACAGCATACAGGAAACATCTCCTACGTGCACGTCTGCTCCATGATAATATGGAGGAGTTCTAACACATTTACAATCTACGGACCGATACATACATGAGATACAACAAGTACCACAGTTGATATACACTGGCTTATAATCTGTGACGTTATATATTGAACATTAATATACCGAGGATTTGTGAAAAGTGACATTGCAGTTTATACCGATTAATCAGATCTACGTCTTCATCATGCAGAGCCGAGTAATTATATCTACTTCTGGTGCCAGGCCACTGCGATCGTTCTGAGGTATCAAGCAAAGAAACCAAAAAGCAAACGGAGCGATACTCTACAGGAGGACGCAACCAAACTAAAGGACACCAAAACAGCAGCAAGTTAAGGTACAACAAATCTTGTAACCCTGAATGAAACGGAGACTGAAATTCAGTCTCAAATTGTCAGAGCTAAATAGCAGCATCATATATTCAGTAGAGTTCAACATCATCAAAGACACCAGCATACAGTCACTGAGACAGCTAAGCAGGCCAACGGGCTCCTGTGTAAACACACCAATTTGCCATTTGTCAGTTTAGGTAATCCCCCTCAGAAAGGGAACTTGCAGAAATAAAAAGCAACCAAACAGGAACACGTGGAGCAGTTCATTGCATCTTGCTCTTTGCAATTCATAAACCTGATACAGATTAAGCTACGGGAGGAACCTTAAGGTGAGATAGCTTAAAATGTTTGTCTGATTCCTGTCTTTTGCATGATATGAGAGGAGAAGTCTGCAAAAGATCCTTTAAAATTAAACTCAGGGAGAAAGCCTTTCTATCTGCAGTCAGTTTGTTTTACTTCCAGCTTGGTTTAGCACCTCTGCTGGGCGTCAGTGAGTCTCTATACTGGACGGACTTCTCTGAAATGATACTAGTCTTACGGGTGTCTTCACGTGTAGTAGGAGGAGGGGGGGTCTCACTGCGGTAGGCGCTGCGACTGCTAGCTTTCACACTCTGCACCCGTCGCAGGCTGGTCCCGGGGGTCCGCTCCTCGCTGCTGTGCACTGTGGAAGACATCCTGTTCTGCTTCACTGGGGTCTGCCTTCCCCTGAGGGAGGGGCTGCGAGACGGGGTGGAGGGGACGGAGGGGGGCAGCAGCTCAATCTTGGTCCTGGACTGGGAGGCTACGGTGTTGCGGGCAAAGTTTGGGACATCGGAGGTGTTTTTAGCGATGAGCGTGTTACAACAGCTGTTCTCAGGGGACGCTCCACCTTTAGCCTGAGCCTGGGCCAGGGCTCTCATGGTGGAGCGGCACATCTTCTCCTCAGGAGGGGGCTTGGGGATGTTCCTCACGGTTTTGGCACTGGGCTTGTGGATGGAGACCTTTCTCGGAGTCAAATCTCGTGCCCACCTCAAAGCGCCGCCTGTGAGGCTGCTTCCTCTCTGAGTTTTTGATTCCTCTGGAGGCAGGCTGGAGTGGCGGGGAGGTCTCGTGGTCTTCTCGCTCCGCCCCCTCGCCGGGGTGCTCTGGTCACGGAGAGGCCGGATTGACTTTCCGCTGTCGTGCGCCGCAGGTTTCTCTGTTCTCTTGCTGCTTCCTGTCCTGGTGGGCTTGCTGATGGGCACGACCTTCCTCATGCCCTGGCTCTCGCTGCTGTTCAGCGTCCGCACGCTGCTCTTGCTCCTGGTCGCTTTGATAGCTTTGCTCTTAGTTTGAACTGGCTTTCTGCTGCCTCCCTGCGTCTCTTTCTCCTCACCTTGCTTTCCCTCTGCGGTGTCACAGCTCTCTGTGTCCCACTCTTCTGTGGTAGCAGATACGTTCATGGGCGCTGTGTCCCCAGATCTTGACAGCTCATTGGTTGACTGGTCTTTGGGAGACATGGACTTCAAATTCGAGGACAAAGAGCTGTTATCTCGCTGGTTCTCCTGGTCAGATCTCCTGCAGTCAGGCGGCCCCTCTTTCGTTAGAGACGAGCTATCAACCTCTGAGTAATCAGAGGTGACGGAGAAGTCTGTTTCTGTGGAATCTACTATGTAAAGCAAAGGTTTCTTATTGGATACAGAGCTATCCAGGGGGAGGGGCGTGTCACAGGTTGTTGATGACACTGTGCTGTTGTCCTCCTCTTCTTTCTCTCCCTCAAGGGAGACCCCAGCTTGTGTTGAAGGATCTATTTTTCCTCCCCAGGCTGCCTTGGGAAATGCTCCTCTTTCTAAAACTCTATCATGTAGGTGAAGGTTCAGATTTGAGGGCAAAGTCTGTCTTTCCTTCTCCAAATCAGTCACCACGACATCCCCCTGGTTGACAAAGTGTGTATGATTACTGTTGTTGTTAGGACTAGGCAGGTCAAAAGCTTGAGGAACTCGAACTAAAGTGTGTTTCTCCAGACTGACATTCATGTGGCCGGTGATATTTGGGTTGGGAAGGTGGGCAGGCGTCTGAAAGACACAAAAGGGACGAGGCAGAGCGCTGCCCTCTGATATGGATGAGTAGTTATTGTTGTTGTAAGGTTCGTTATTGTTTATCCCAGAGGAGGAGTACCTAGCCAGGGGGCTGATGGGCTCAGTCTCGGCTCGGGGGGACGTCACCTGTCTGTCGCAGCCCAGCTCGCGGTTGTCGTCCTGGTCTAAGATCCAGGGGGTCGACTTCCGCTGCACGGCACGGCCCGACCGAGGCAGGCTGTTGAACTTTGAGTAGTCGGTTGGAGTCCCGGCGCCTCCGAACACCTCCAGGTATCCTCTGAGATCTTGGTCTGCTATGGAGGTCATGGTGTGGCGGTGGCGGCGGGCGCTGGCGGAGCGTGCCAGCGGGCTGCTGGGACTCTGAGACCTCTGCTGGAAGAAGTCCAGCAGCCCCTCCTTGGTGAGCATCTCCACGTCGTTCTCACTGCTGCTGCGACCAAACCCCCCACTCTGATCTGCATCCGACCAGGCGAAGCGCTTCTCCTCCAACTCCCGCAGGCGACGCTGTCTGGCTGCTTCCTTCAACTCACGGTCCGCATTGTCCTGAGAGAAAAGAGGAAGGCGGATAAATGACTGTACTTGTATCACTGCAGGAAGGAAGACAGAGATGGAAATATTGACAATAATATTAAAGGTTTCCTATTATACTATTTGTAGGCATATAGTATAGGTCCCAGATGTATAAAAACATGTCTGTGAAGTGTTTTGCTCAAAATACCAAACAGATCACCCATTCTAGCCAAACCTCATACACCTCTATTTCAGCCCTGTTAGAGAAAGTGCCGATTCTGGGTCCGTAGCTTTAAAAATGTTTTATAATAATAATAATAATAATAATAATAAAATAAAAAGAGGGGGTAAACGGAGGTAAAGGATAGAGGGTTTTTTTCTTTTTGACACTTTGTGAGTTCCTTACACCGGGGACACATATTTATGTATAAAAGAAACAAAAAAGTGCATTTTGCATGATAGGTGACCTTTAAACTGGATGAGAAAAAACTAACATTTCATGCATCAAAGACCTAAAACGATTTACTTCACCAGAAATATCATATATTTTCTCATAAACTGACCTTGACAGCTTTCTTGAACTTGAGGCAGAAGTCTTGAAAGATGCGGAAGCCCTCGTCCAGCTTGAAGGTGTCCTTGTCTTCACAGAAGAAGTCGATGAGAGCGTTCCCCTCTTTCCGCAGATCCAGCCTGCGCCTCTTCAGGTCCTGCAGCGTCTGCGCTGAACTCTGAGACATCAGGCACATATATTTTTTATTATTACTTTCATAAGGGTGTCCTTATCTAAAGCACTTGGGTCAGCAGGGCCAGAAGATGTACAGAGGCCTCGATCCAACTTTCTGTAAGTGTGTGTGTGTGTGTGTGTGTGTGTGTGTGTGTGTGTGTGTGTGTGTGTGTGTGTGTGTGTGTGTGTGTGTGTGTGTATATAATGTATTACATAACCACTGCCGGTGCTTCACCTGCAGAAAGGGCTCCAGCTGCTGCAGTAGCTCCGCGTCCCCTTGAACCTTCTCCTCTAGGGATTTAATCCGAACATATAAGGAGGAAAACTCCACCTCAATGTTTTCCACTGAGATTCTACATGGAAACATGAGAGCAGAAAAAAGCAGATCAGGAAAATGGGCTTGATACCATTTTGGTGATTACAAACATAAATCACAATGCCATCATACTGAGCGACACCATATTTGGCAGCATTTTCCTGAATTCCCTGTCAGACCGTCATCTGTTAAAAGTGTAGATGGGAGCGATGCCTTCATATATCATAGGGAGGGCTCTTTGGTGCAGGAGAAGTACTCTCTCCACACAGAGATGACCTTGTGAAGCTCACTGAGCCTGACAGCCAGCAGCATCACACTGCACTTACTGTAAACCAGGTGTTATGTAATGAGGGTGGATACTGTATTCAAATCAGCAACATAACAACTGTTTAAACATCAGTTTTGATCAAATGGTTGTTCACTTTTTTTGATCACTTAAAAGAACACACAATGAATAACTCATTTATGTGATGAGAATTGCCAATGTGCAATATTAGCTTCAAAATATGTTGAATGTTGTCATACAGTAGGAAAAACAAGCTCTTCAGTGAATGTTTGAGTGATGCATCTTTTGTATTACAGCACCTCAAGTCATTGTTATTTAATGCATTAATGATATAGTATTTAACATAATTGTTGATATTTGAATGTTTTATATCTATTGCTAATAATCTGTCAATGGACATAATATTCTGTACTGTTTTGTGAATATAGATTTCACATCTGAAAGCATATTTGAATGTACTTAAAATGAATGTATGATTAGTTGTAGGTGCCATAACGCTACTTATCCCAAGTTCATTATTTGTATTATTATTATTATTATTATTTGTTTACGTCACTTTTATTTGTTTGTTGAGCAATTCCGGTAATTGTCACATGGGTGTGGTTTGTCTAAGTCACCTGTTTCATGTCGAGTGCGGATGACAGAGGGTGAGCTTGTGCTGTAATTTTTTCTGTTGACCGTTTTGTCCATAGTTACTATGTTATCATTTTGTTTATTAAATATCCTGAAAACTATCTTGCTTCACTATGGACTTTCTCTTCGAAAACGCGTCACAGTTTATAGCCAAGTTTAGCCTCTCTGTGACTCAAACGTAACTGGGGATTGAGCCGCCACACGTACAGAACTTGGAGTGAATGTTTGAGTTTCTGATGCTATTATCGTATATAAAACTGTTACAGTAGCCCTAACTGATTCAGCAAAGTTTGAATTTAATTACAGCATTATTCTAGCTAATCAGAGTTTTTGAACAGTTCTATAAAACCATCTGTTTTCAATGCTGAAGGTCTGCAAACCAACTAGGTTTGGTAAAACTGAATAACCTTTGGTGGGAAAAAATCCCCAATTTCCTGCATAGTAACACAATAGGATTAATTGTAGCCTGCTTGATACCATCATTCCCAACTTCCTTGTGGAGACGTGTATTTACAGCATGTCATGTTTCCCTTTTTTGTACGAGAGGGGGATTATGATGTGACAACATTTCCAACTTCGCCTCACACTGGGAGAAACGGTTTACCTGGCTGCACTCTGGACATCCTGGAGTTTCTCTGGGAATTTGAGCAGCTCCTCGTCCTTTTTCTTGGCTTCCTGTGTGGAGAGACACATCGCACGGGTTACATTTAACTTGTTGTAGAGGCATAATTTAAGGTTGAAGTATCCCCCTCTTTCCTGTCACCATCTGCTGTCCACCTGCCCTTCTGAAGTCCCTTTACTCAAGGACCCCTCCTGTGAATGATTCTATCAAATTAAATCCCTGCAGCAGACAGTTAACTGTCTCTTATTCTACTTAAATACTCACAGTACGCAATACTTTTTACACATATTTGATGTTGTGTGTGCTTCAACTACATTTAACTAGGATAGGCCACAGGCTTGAAATATTGTTAATATTATTATTATTAATATTTATTGGATGAAATAAGTCTAGTTATCCTTGAGCTTTCAACATTACATTTTATCCTGACATTGTGTCTGAATTGTCGACATGCTAAGTTTCTGACTCTCCTACTTTACAATATCTGATTATGTGAAATAATACAGCTCTTAAAGTTATTGTGAGCATAATATTGTAAAACTGAAGCCTTCACTTACCATGGCGACAAAGTGCAGCAGGTTCATCCCCGGTTTGTTGGCTTTGGTGTCGGCCAATGAGAGGAGAGATGACAGCTTGAAGCCAACAGCATTTCCTGCATAGCCGCCCTGAGAAACAAAAAGGATATGATAAAAGATCTTCTTCAAAAGCATAAAAAGACTCCTTAGAGAAAACAAGAAAGAAACAACAGCTAGTTAAAATAAATGACTTGGATTTGTGCACAAATGAATGGGCTTGTGCACGACACTATTATTTGTGTTTGCATTGATCTAAAGTTTAAATATTACCAACTTTACCATACGAGACACAAAGATTGAAGAGTGATGTTAATGTATAAAGTGAATTTATACTCACGGCGTTCATGATGTTTCCGGCCTGCAGCACCAGATGCAGAATGGCATGCAGCTCCTCACAGCTCATCAGCTCTATAGGATGGAATCAATAGAAACTCACTTTGGAGAATTCAGAGTTCAGAGTAACAGCGTCCATTACACCACTTCACTGTACCACCACCACACAGAACAACTATCAGCAGTAAGAACGAACGCTTACTTCAAAAGCTTATTTTTATTTGTATTTTTGACCAGCAGTTTTGTACTAACAGTACGGGCAAATGTTTAATACTGTTTAAAGTTGTAATAAAATGCTGTCACAAAAGTTCCATTCATTTGTCCCATGCAGTGTTTAAATGTAGCTCTGCAATGCAGTAATAAGGTCACAGTGCTGTTGAAGAGAGTTTAAGAAAAATCCAATAATCCACAGAGAGGCCGAATAGTGTGACTCAGCTAAATGACACAGGCTGAAATGATGGCTGCGCAAAAAGAACTGTCAAGCAAGTATTTATTTTACAGGTTCTTGGTCAGTTTATTAACACCCACGGTATATGTTTCAGATATGGGGCAGGTATATGCGTGCAGTGTGTGAGTAAACGTGCCTGTTCTTTTCCTGTAATTTACTAACAGCACAGGGCATTTTAAGCTATGAAAGCGGCATTGATCTGGGCTGGCAATGCTTGGCGGACGGACTATTAGATAGATGCCTTTCAATTTGGTTCAGACATCCATTTCCCTCCCACCATTAATACTAACTACTTTTGTGAACCCCTAACTATTTTTTTAAAAATCGGCAATACTTTGGCAAATACCTGCAAAAATAATCTGCTAAACATCAGCACGTTAGCATTTTAACCGAACATGTTAGCATGCTAAATTAGCACCACTTAGCCTTAGCATAACCTCACACAGCTTCTAGCATGACTTTAGACTCTTAGGTTATGTTTAATCAACATTTTACAGAAGGAATTATTTTTGACTAACTTCTTTAGTAAATGTTATAATTCAATCATGTACCATCTTCATAAAAAAAGAACATTGCAAAACATTACTAAGATGACTTAGCCTTGTCTTTCCACTCTGTCCTTACATCACCGTTCCTCAGGTGACACATTCCTACTTCTTGTTCAGCTCAAATATCAGGGTCACCTGTCTGAGCGCGTGTATGTGTGTATGTGTGTGTGTGTGTGTGTTACTACCTTTAGTGGCGACGCGGATGACATCGATCTCACGGCTCATTACAGCACAGGAAGGGAAGAACTCCTCGCGGAGGACAATGGCCTCGATCCGAACCACAAACCTGTCAGAGACGAAGCAGAGAGCGGGTACATTTGTGAACTTAGTGTGCAATGAAAAGGAAGAAGAAGTTGACAGGCGTCCTTTATAGGTTAAGGTTCTGCAAGGAAAAAGGAAAAGCATCATTAAAAACACTGGTGGGATAGGGAAGCATGACACATTTTATACCAGTAATTGGTTACTTCTAATCATACCACCAGTAGTGAATAGTAAAACCAACCACTATTGTTACCAAAAAAAAGGAACAATGAAAGGAAAAAAGTTAATAAAATATGGAAACACACGATAAATCCTATACAATATGATAGTCATATGCTTACTATAAATACTTTCTAAAAATGTGGTCTTTGCAGGTAAAATAACCTTTGATATTGAAGTATTGATATGTTGCAGATGTCAATTTTTGCAAACTCTTTTGTGTTTTTTTTAATTTCGAAATAAAGGCATTCAAATACAACAATTTTATATTAACAAATGTGAATGAGCTACAAGTCCCCACAACAGCCACCCTATTCCCACCAAAAAAGATACAGTGCAGCCCTTTCTATTTCTATCTTCCTTTAACTGAGACAGCACTATATACACAGCATTGAAATCCACTTACTGAGGCACCTGGATCAGGAGGAACATAAAGGAATCAACCAGTGTCAGCTTGTCTGGGTCTCCTTTATACGCATGGAGTTTTTTAATCTGTTGAGGAGGAAAAAGAGACAGAGGAAGCTCAGCAGGCGCCTTCTTTCCTCTTCATTCAATGTCTTTTGTCATCAGTTTTGGTCTTTGATACAGTTTGCTAAAAGCCACAGATACAGAATAAACACAGACCTCCTCTACGTCAGGCAGGAGCTTCAGCAGGTCTTTGAGCAGCTCTGCTCCATAAGTCTTTCCTTCTCCTTTTAGTATGTCTTCAACAATTGAGCGGTTGGATCTGAAACACAAAAAGTTTTTTTCAATTAAACTTAAAGTTAAGTAGCCCAGGAGCTTCCTTTTAACTATGGCCTTCCTGTGTTTACAAAGGAACTGAATCTGAGCCTTTCAGAATCAGTCACATTTTAAAAACTATTTCTCAAAACTAATTTAAAATAAGATATTAAAGACGACATATTATGCTCATTTTCAGGTTCACATTCTTATTTTGTGACATCTTTAAAGCTTATTTCTCAAAACTCATTTAAAATAAGATATTAAAAGACGACATATTATGCTCATTTTCAGGTTCACATTCTTATTTTGTGCCTCTACTGCGACATGTTTACATGCTTTCATTTTCAAAAACTGTTTTATTTGTGTCACATATTGATGTCTTTATGTTACGGTAGTCAACAAATAATTCCAATGGAGGCGTTTCAGGCAGGGAGTGTGTAGGAGAAACTACCTTGGTGTAACATTTGGGATTTTAGTCTTTGCAGACCATTTTCATGCACGCAACATATCACTACAGGAAATGGAAAACCCCCCAAATGCATAAAAGGACCCTTTAATGTTAGCACATTTCCAATATGTTTTTTATTTTTTAATGTTAATGCTTTCTGTTTTTGATTTCGGGTGTTTGATTTCTGTTTAAACTTGTATTGTTGTTATTTTTCCTTCATTGCAGGGACATTTTGTTGTTCCTGTCTTGAAAAGTGCTGTGTAGATGAATTTCAATTTCATTGTTCAGAAAAACAAAACATACCGACAATATGTGAACATGTTTCCTTCTTTCTACACACAACTTTCACAGATCAACACTTACTCTCAGTCATGTCTCAATACCTATAGTAACATCCAACTCTGACACACCCAAGTCTGTAGTGCTGTAACCTATGGCTGTAACCCAATTCCTGATTACCTCATTGCTATAAAAGAAGCTATGAGAAAAACATGGACAATATCCAGTAAGCGGATACCTTAAAATGTGATGCAACCAAATACAGCGGTTGTAATAAATATCACTGTTACGGGGCTTATAATATTCAACCTTTGTAAAGACTGTATCACAAACATGTATATCTAACTCCTGAGGCCACAGCTTGATGGTTGTATTGGATTAAATTAATGTAAATTGAATTATGTCAGCATAATTTAATTCAAGCATTCTCAGCATCAAGGCTAAAACTGGTACAGAATCAACTCTTTTTGGTATAGGTAGGTACATAATAGTGTTATGCTCCATGTCATTTTTAACCCAAATGTATGGATCACTGCTCCAATACTCCTGATATTTGTGTTTTGGAAACTGACATGAAACATTTGTAAACCATTAAAAAGAAGGTCACCTTTTCAGGTTTTTAGATTCTACATCATTATCATCTCTTTTCTTTTGTATATTAAGAAACTAGGATTTACCCCGAAATAAACTGTCTTGCTTAACATATTTTCATCTAGAAAGGGTGTTGTGTTCTTGTATCTCCTCCATAGCAATAACAGCTAAGGCTCATGGGTATTATAGTATTTATCCAACATAACATACCAAATAAAATAAGAGATTTCTCCAAAAAAAGGTCGGAAAACTAGCCAGAAAATGAAACCTACAGGATCATGTAAATAAACTAGACTCTAATGTTTCTATGTGTGGGAACAAATACGATTTTGTTTAAAAATAAAACTGAAATGGAAATGTACAGTGATTAAAATAATTCTCATAATGAGCTGCTTCTTCCACTTTGAATTTTTTTTTTCTGAGTCCATGTACAGGAGAAGAGGGTGGATGATAATATATAGGGTAAATGCATATTAGAGTAAAAAAGCAGATGGAAAAATAAACAGTATCTGCGATGATCTCACTGCTCCCCCAGTCCTGTGGCTGACAGTCAAATGTCATTAAAATACAGTGGACAGCCATGCAAATATACCGTCAGGCAAAAAAACACCCAACACACTTTCTGTACTCTGCTCTGGACGACTTATACAACACAATGCTGAATCCACTCGGGCACATCTTTAGATTGCTTAAACCAACTTATATATAGATTACGAAGAACTGTGGACTTTATAACTAAGAGACATTAAAGGGTTTTCCTTCATGACACAAACTGAGATTTAACATATATTCAAGAGACCAGTAATGTAGGGACTCATATATCTTGAACAGCAACATGAACATCTTAAATCTACTATAACCAAATGTGGTTACACGAAAAAGAAAGAAAGTGTCTGTCTTGTTCTTTTCTCAAATTACCGTAGGATCAATATGTGTTTTCCTAAGTGATCGTTAGCCAGCGAGAAAACACTGAAAGTCAATTCACCACCCTGCCTCCTCCCTGACACTCTATGCTCTCTATTCTTCACTGTTGTGGCCTTGTATTCTGATTTTAAAGACTGTAACATCTGCCAAACTGTTTCACAACAACTTTGTGTTTTTTCACGTTCTCCCAAATAACACAGTATACTGTATCTGCAGACAGGTGACACATTTAAGAGAGCAACGTTAAACACAGATTGTTTGATGGAAAATTTGAGTCACTTCAAAGTCTGCATATCTGATATTCTGTCGATAATCATCCCAATTCTAATCTATGCAACGCCACATCAGCAGTGTGACATCTACCAGACATAATCTTCATATACATTTACAATTTATCTGATGAACCTCTGCAGTTTTTAGTTCTTAAAAAGATTTTGAGGGACAAACGATGTGGGGCTGTGTGGGTCAAATTGACATGACTTAAAAATGACCAGTGTAGTGTTTAGGAGAATGCAAAAGCAGATATGTAATATCATATTCACAACTATGTTTTCATTAGCGTATAGTCATCTAAAAAACAAATAGTGTTGTTGTGTTTTCCATTACCTTTGTTTCCTTAGAATCAGCCCTTCGTATCTAAAGTACATAGGGAGCCAGAAATCTGAGATTCCACAGAAAGTTGAAACCAAGCCCTGGCTCTATAGACATCCTGATGTGTTTCTACATTACTTTTAGGCCTTGGTTCTCTGATACACTTATGAAGGGAGGGATGAGCAAGGGGATATTTCATTGGTTGCAATCTGTAACCTCACTTTCATAACAACATTTGGGTACTCAGACCTTCTCCGGGTAAAATGATATCATGAATAAAGTGAGGACAAGTGATTGACAAAGCCTGCAGGATCATGTTCTGACTCTTAACAGTCAGAGTTTATGGTCCGATGCACCTGTTCAAAAGACTTCTGGAGTACACTACTCTCATCGATGCGTTACCTCTCTCCAAAGTGAACAAAGTAATTTCATCCCATCATATTGGCACAACCCAGCAACTGCACCTGAACTGTTCGCTAAGGTCATCAAGTAACCTGCCGGAAATGACAATTAAATCAATCTTTACCACCATCATTAGAAAAAAACAGAGACTTGGAGAGTATATAACAAGAAGCATCAAAGCTGTTCTGAAGGCTGACTAAGAAATGTCATGTTTTTTCACATACATGAACAAACTCCCCTGAGCTTTACATAAGCAGCTCTTCCCTCAGGTAGAGAAGCAGCAGAGACTTACCTCTTGAACTGCCTCAGGAAAATGCCCACATTCATCCCTCTTTTGGAGTCAAGGATGCTGATCTGAAAACAAATAAAAGACACTGAGTGATGCATGAATGTGCTGTAGTTTGGGTGAAACACAATAAAACACACACATCCCTCCCTTTTCTTACTACTCCTGGTTGTTGTTGCTTGTGTTGTTACCTAGACTACAGCCCCCACCCGCCAACACATTATCACCCTATGGGACAGTGAAATTCCACCGGGCCACACGTGGTTCACACCTCCTTCATTAACAATGGCTTGCACAGGTGACTGTACAGTGTGAACATTCATGTAGAGCTTTTAAATAAGTCACTTCTGTAGTCTGAATAAAAGATGATGAGTACAGGTGGGATGCAGAAAGATAGGTAAAGAAATGTAAATGAAATTTACTTCAACATTACCAAAGATGATCAGCAACAATACTGACATACAACCACTTGTTTTTGTAATTTATAAAAAAAAAAAGCCAAATATGTTCTGGTTCAATGATATTAATCTCACTATAAGGTGCATATCTTTGAGTTTTGGAAAAAACAAGTCATTTAAGTATACCACCTTGGGCTCTTAAAGCTTGTGATAATAATTTTGACATTTAATAGACTAAACTTCCAAAAGAGTGTTCAGTAACAAATCTTGGACCAGCTGCAGTCACTGCAACACAACCTAAACATGGGCTCTTTTCATAATAATGTTATTTAACAATCTGTTTGTTCTAAAGGTAAATCCGCGGAATTATTTCCTAGATATTGGCCATTTTTAAGAGGATTGATGTATAATCACTTTGTAAGCATTCTCAATCTGACCCTCACATTAAGTCACAGTTTTTTCATGTATCTCCACCACTCACCTCGCCCTTGCTGCTCTCCTTGAAGGAGCGGGACCTGGAGACCCCGGTTGAGGCTCCAGCAGCCAGCGTGGCCCCCCGTATGCCCGCCATCGCCTCTTCCTGCTGCCCGAAGAGCTCCTCCACCGAGCGAACATCGATCTGGTACTGCTGCTGCCGCACCGACATGGTCCAGATGTTGGGCTTCCCGCGGACCTTCTCCTCCGGTATCGGCTTCCAGAAGAAGCTGCGGACGCGCCGCTTCTTCCTGGCATTGTGGGTGGTGGTCGCTGGTGGTGGAGGAGGGGGCGGAGGTGCCCCTGGAGGTGGGGGCGGTCGGGGAGGAGGAGATTCATGTTTAGAGGTGTCAGGGTCGTCGCTGAGGGAAGGTAGGGTGGTGTTAGTGTGTCCGGACATAGAGGAGGGGTCAGAGGTGGTGATGGAGGAGGCGGGGCAGCTGCTTCCCTCGCTGCAGCAGCTCTCTGGCTCATTGGTTGTGGATGGACAACTCATAACAAGCATCACAGGGAGAAAAAGTCAGCACATGAGCTCATGCTGACAGTACAAAAACTAAATATTTATCTGATCAGTAGAGTCTCTTCTTTAAAATGATTTTCTTTTAGGTGCGTCAATGACGAACATCAAACTGCTGCAGGGTCTGTCCCCTCGCTGCAGGAAGTCTGAAGGTGTCCCTTCATCTGGTCTCAATGAAGGGAGCTCGTCCTTTGATTCTGTCCATCTCCATCGCTCAGCTGGTCATCCATCGCGCTGAGCAGAGCCTTTGAAGGTTACCTCCCAGGGGGAAAGAGCTGGCGATGGCCATGGAGCTATGAGAGCAACAAAAACAACATAGGACAGGATTATACAAAAGTAGTCATGCGTGTTGTCAAGGACAATCTGAAATAAGGGGGAAATTAAGGGGTGTGACAGATCAAAAGGGAAGGGGTACCCAGCTAAAGGGGATCACAATGAGGGAAATGGCAAATCCTATTTTATTCCATTTTTGAAGGGCTTTGAAGTGATGCTCTGGGGTGTGTAATGATCGGAGACATTACACCCACAGCTTAGCTTCTGTTACACTGTTTGGTATCATTTTTAAGAAGTTCTCATGAAGCGGGAAAGAAACTAAACAAGTTGTTGCGGGTCAGAACAATAGTCTCATTTAATAATGTTATCGATTAACAATACAGAGGTTACTCTGGTCCTGCATCAGGTGGACATTGATGGCTTTGAGGTAAGAATGCATTTTTCAAATGAATATATAAGTTGTAGTAAAACTGCCTGATCTGATCTTTTGTGTCTGTTAATTTTATTTCAATAAATTCCACGAACTTCAATCGAGTGAAAAGCAACAAAGACTAAAAGTCAAGCAGATAGATTTCCTGATGTAAATCTGAGGAATCAGAATGACTGTATTTGTATGAAAAACAACTGTCAGTCTCTTATGTAATTCAGATCAGCATAAACTGTTGCCATAGTGAAGAGCCCGTCACCTTTAACAAAACAACACAATGCACCAAAAGGAGATTGAGTAATGTTTGTCAGATTGCTTTGCAAGGTTACCCTCGAAAAGAACACAAAACCACCCACAGCCACTGAAGTCATGATGTAGACCAGCAGCAAACTGCTGGATAGAAAAGCTTAATTTGTAAACGTCCTTTTTCCTAGGACCATAAATTCACTCGAACACAGTACTTTAACAAGAAGACTAACTCTTGGTCTAGAAAGAAGCATCATGCAGTGATAATCTGCAACCAGTTTCATTGTCATACCAGATTTAGGGGGTGGCTGTGACTAAGTGGATAGAGTACTGGACTTCGAATCAGGGGGTAGCAAGTTTGAGTCCCACTGCAGTCAGCATGTCGTCATGTCCCTGGGCAAGACACTTCACCCCAAATTGCAACTGTGGGGATTGTCCACAGTACTGAATGTCACAGTACTGAAAGTAAGTCACTTTGGATAAAAGCATCTAACAAGTAACATGTAATGTAATTTATGGTTTATGTTAAGCATAAATGACGAACTTTCCTCAGTTCTAGATTCTCGTTTGCAAGATGTTGCTGCTTTTTAGTCTTATTTGAAATTCAACTTAATATGGGTGGATTTACGAGTCAGGTTGGACAAATTAAGTGATTTGATGGAATCAGATCTTTCAGCTATTTTGTACAATTAAACTAGAAATTAATGAGCAATTATTTAATTTCTTGATTAAACAATCAATAAATATATTTCTCTACAATATTTGAGTCTTAAAATAATTACCAACATATCAGAGTGCCAACTTTTTTTGTTGTTGAAAGAAACAATAACATAAAAAAAATAGTAAAAAGTATCCCTGTCAAGTTATTAGTGTAGCTCTATTGCAATATATTTAGAACATAAGTGGTTATTAATGGTGCGGTAAATGAGTATGGGAAAACATAACCAGTCTTCAACCTCTCCGTCTCTTTGTCAAATCAGCGGTGGCACTGCAGCTCTCAGTTGGAGGGAAACTGGTTGTGTTTCAGGACAACACATCACTCACTGCCACTGTTGACCAGGCTGCAGTGATCTGATACTCTACAAGGCGCAAACAAAGAAATGAGCTTCTGACAAAAACAGGACATTAATTAGAGACGTGGGGGTGGGTGCACCATAACAGGGCATTAAGGCAATTTCTATCTTTCGATTCAATCAGATAACAGTAATAATAATAATAATAATAATAATAATAATACATGGTATCAAACCCTGCATACATGGCTAGTTTCTGCTCGTTTCTAAAAAACAACTTAGTGGTAGCCTCCCATAAGTTAGCAGCTTTTTCAACCTGATACCCATTATGATTAATTAATGAGTAGACGTCACAAATGGCCTCATGTTGCTCCGCCCGTCCTCAGAGCTGGACCACACCGTCACTCATGTCTAATTCATAAGTCTGTGAGAACATCTGACCTCACACCGAGTCGTCTCCTTCTGTGCTAAAAATGTGGCTACATGGAGTAAACACAAACAAGCCTTTTCTGTTGTCAATCTGTTAATGTCGGCTGCTTTAAAAAGGAATGGTTTTATAACAATCATGTCTGTAGCCTACGCTCAAAATTATGCTACAGCTAATAATATTAATATCCAATAATATTTTATCTAGCAATAAATTATTAAACAAATTGAAGCCATGACTTGAGATAGTCTCTAAGAAGATGGTAAAATAACCGCTGTGAGTGAAGAAATATTGAGTTTCAAACTGGGGTGCAGGATGGCGTTATTTTGCCTTCAGAAAGAGCAAAGCTAGCACCTTCTTACCTTTATTGTTTGCTAAGCTAACCATCCAAGCATTTAAACATGTCACAGTGGAAGCAAAATATATATTGAAAAGGCTATCATTATCATTATCATTACTGCTATCATTTCACATCAAAACTGGACAAACTGCCCTTAAAACCGTTACACACCACTATGGGATGTTATTGTGAAAGGAAAGAACATACAGGGACCTGTTAGGCGCTGCCTTGAACGTTGAAAGTAGTAATTTGCGGTTGTGTTTTCGACCAGGTTTTGTAATCCCTTTTTTTAAATATGCATGTTCTGCATTACATTATGGGTTTATGCCTTTTTCTTTTTTATTATATGATGGAAGAATGCAGATGTTTAAGCTAAGTTAGTAATACTTCTCTATCAGCAAGAAAGTGAATTTTCTTAACATTTTCAAACCAATTATTTAAATGAAACCCAGTTTGAGAAAGCCTGCAAACTTTCTGTCTGCACTGTAACGGTTCAGTAAAACAGAAAAAAGCACTGAGTCAATGTTCTCAGGCACATTACTCCTGCCTGTCTAAAGAATTCAACACTGTGACAGTAATTGATTTGTGGCATTGAACATTCCTTTTAACTATATTTCAAACAGCTAACGAGGCTGTGAACTGACATCCGTTGCCTAAAACGACCCACAGAGGAAACACACCTGTCAGTAACACTATACAGAACAGCCCTGAGGGGGAGAAAAGCAGTCGGTGTCCAGATTCCTCACATCCACCTGTTGCCATGAGTGAACACAGACAGACTGTGGGCTTCATCTATAGGTCCACTTGTTGTTAACCCCGAGGCATTCCCCATCAGTCTCCATTAGTGACAGGTAAACCCACCCACTGACAATACTCTTAGACAGGGAACACAGCAGGTCAAAGTTATCATAGATGTAAAAATGGGCTCCTACAGCAGTAGTCTGCCAATGAATAGCAAGACAAATGTGAGAGGAGACCCCACCCAGGTCAACCTTTTATTCAGACTTATTGTGTCCAGGTCCCATTAACTTGCCATTGTCTTTTGTCTGTGTGCCAGAACTGCAACTAACCATTATTTTCATTGTTGATTTATATACTTATTTTGCCTAGTGATCGATTCATCATTACGTTTTTGAATGGCTTGTTCCGTATTTCCCAGCCAAGGATATATACAGTTCCTGCCACAATGAAGTACAACATTCAAAAGTAACAATAACATTGGTAAAGCTTTTGCTTATCCAAAATCCTCATTATAATTTCCGATTCTTTTTTGTTAATCATCTACAATTCTGTAAACAGAGGTGTCTAAAAGCACTAAATGAGAGAATATATTTTGGAGGAATGGAGTTCATCCATCCTGTTGGGGTCTAAAGAGAATGTGTGCCAAAAGCATTTTTTTTTTGTCTAATACTTTCATTTTTCAAGGCAAGGCAAGGCAAGTTTATTTATATAGCACCTTTCAACACAAGGCAATTCAAAATGCTTTACAAAAAATGAAAGACATTAAGAAAATGGCATTTAAAATCAGTCATTAAAAAGAAAAGATAATAAAATAAACATTAAAAGAAAAAAATACATGGATAAAAGTTACATTGCAGTTTAAGAATAGTTCAATTAAAAGCAGCGGCAAAAAGAAAAGTCTTTAGTCTGGATTTAAAAGTAGTCAGAGTTGCAGCGGACCTGCAGGTTTCTGGGAGTTTGTTCCAGATATTTGGACGGGCATACAACTGAACGCTGCTTCTCCATCGTTTAGTGCTGACTCTGGGGACAGAAAGCTGACCCGTCCCTGAAGACCTGAGAGATCTGGATGGTTCATAATTTAGCAGGAGGTCAGAAATGTATTTTGGGCCTAAACCATTCAAAGCTTTATAAACCAGCAGCAGTATTTTGAAATCTATTCTTTGACATACAGGTGTAAAGACTTCAGAACAGGAGAGATGTGATCCACTTTCTTAGTGTTAGTGAGGACTCGAGCAGCGGCGTTCTGAATTAGCTGCAGCTTTCGAATAGATTTTTTAGTGAGACCTGTGAAGACACCATTACAGTAGTCAAGTCTACTGAAGATAAAAGCATGGACAAGTTTTTCCAAATCCTGCTGTGACATCAGTCTTTTAATCCTAGATATATTCTTTAGGTGATAGTAGGCTGATTTAGTAACTGTTTTAATGTGACTGTTGAAACTCAGGTCAGAGTCCATGACTACACCTAGATTTCTGGCTTTATCTGTTGTTTTGAGCATTGCAGACTGGAGCTCAGCGCTAACTTTTAAACGTTCTGCCTTGGCTCCAAAAACCATTACCTCAGTTTTATCTTTGTTTAATTGGAGAAAGTTCTGACACATCCAGTCCTTGATTTGTTCAATGCACTTACTCAGTGTTTGAATTGGAGTATAGTCTCCTGGTGAAATTGTTACGTAAATTTGTGTGTCATCCGCATAGCTATGGGAACTTATTTTGTTGTTTTTCATTATCTGAGCCAGTGGTAGCATGTAGATGTTAAAGAGAAGAGGCCCCAAGATGGAGCCTTGAGGAACCCCACATGTCATATTTGTC